AATTCTGGGAGTTGAAGTCCACTTATCTTAAAGTGGCCAAGTTTGGACAACACTGCTCTAAGAGATACAAAGACAGTTGCTGTTCTGTGCGATGGGGCAAGGAAAACATCCATCCTGAGCCCCCAGATCTGGGGATCTTAACTATTAGGATCAACACTGCCTGGGATCTAACAGAGCCTCCCTCAATTGCTATACCCTGTATTAAGCCATGGCTTAAACCTGGTGTATAGACTAAGCCGCAATTGGCTGGGTTCAGACAACACACCAAGGCATAAACAAGATCACAGTGGCTGGACCCCCACATCCTCTCAAGCCAGAATCAAACAAGGCACGTTACAACTCTGTGTGCAATACAAAACCAAGTCATTTTTAAAGGCTCAAAGATGTTGCATAGAGTTCTGGGCGCAGCTAGAGATGCAGCGAGCATAAAGCAATTGTACCCATTCCAGAATTTTCAACAAAGTTAATCGTGGTGCAGTTTTAAAGAAAAGTAATTCTGCTCTCTCTGTACTTCAACATTCATCCGTTCTGAAGTGTTGCTGGGTTGCAAAAAAGCAACGGGGCTCCCCTCCCCACCTTCCAAAACACCTTCCTAAATCTCCCGTCTCCCAAATTGCAAAATTAAAAAGAATGTGCCCTCAAAAGAAATGCATTTTGTTCTTTATGAGTCCCTACAGTATTTGAGGAGGGATTGCAAAGGGGTTACGGTCACTGTTGAAGTTTGGCCACCCCTGGGCTTCAGATTCGCCTGTGCTGCCCCATTCGAGCTCCCAGTTCTCAGTGGCACCCACATTTTTGCCCAGAAACACAGACCAAATGGGCCCGCCTCCCCTGACAAGATTGCTGACCCTTGTGATTAGGGAATTCAAGGCTGTTTCTGCAGGTTGTCCCTCCCCCAACTTGGTGCATTCCTGGAGCTCTGCTAGACGGCACTTAGTTTTCAGTCTCGGGGGCTGGTCCCTCTTTCCTCCACCGGTTCCCCCTCAATTGTTTCACTGGCCATGCCAACAGCTGTGCTGCTTTTCTCCACTTGCATGCAATTATAGTCTCCAATCTGAACCATCTGGGCATTCTGAATGATAAGATGGGGGCCTGGCACTGTGTTTGGAGAGCCCACCGAGAACATGAAGGGTTGGGAGAAGGAAGCCTGATCAGGCCCCGGTTGCATCAGGGGCGTTGTGGAAGTAGGAAAGACTTGAGTGGCCCGGCCTGGTGGGGCTTGTAATCTTGAAACGTCCACCGTTGGAGCTGGCGAATGGAGGCTGAGCGCAGACAGACGCTGCTGCATCTGCAGGTCTTCCCGCTCTCGTTCTTGCCTCTGTTCCCTTTCCTGGATCTGCCGCATGATGTCCCAGGTTGCTTGCTTCTCCCGGATCACTCTTGGCGTGAACGTCTTCTTCACCCTCTTGGCAAAAATGGGAGACTTCTCATTCAAGGGTACCAGAGAGGCCAGCAGGAGGGGCATCTCCTCCGGCTTCAGAGAGCTTTCCTCGGGCACAAATGGGATCACCGAGTTGCTTTTGCAGAAGCGGGTGAGGGAATCCATCAGGGCCGTGTTGCGCTGGTAGGCACAAAGGCGGCCTTTGAAATTCTTGGTCAGGAGCAGGAGAGTGAAGGCAGAGTTGTCGAGCGCGTTCTGGAAACAGTTGAGCTGGCAACATCCAGAGGCAAGGAAGTCTTCGCCGAAGGTTGCCCCGTTGGAGACACCCAAGGCCTCCAGTCGTTCCTTCACCCGGCAAGCCACCAGCTCGTCTTCTGCTGCGTGCAGGACCACAAAAGTGTAGAACTGCCGTTCCTCCGCTACTGGAGCCACCAAAGAATCTCCTGCTGAGGTACTAGAGGCCAGATCTGAAGGAAAGGAAGACAGCAGGGGCCCAAGGCGCGTGATCTGTGCTGGAGCAGGGGAATTGGCGCCAGGCCTCGAAGCACCTGCAAAAGCTGCCAAACCAGGCTTCTGCAGAGGTGGGGCCTGGAAGCGGGGAGGCAAATGTCCTGCTGCTGCTGCTGCTGCTGCTGCTGCTGCTGCTGC